TCCATACTTAAAAGTTATTGAAAACTTGTGGCCTTGTGCCATCATTGTAAGATAATAAACTTTATTAGGGAAACTTTGATGTGGACTCCATTCAATCTGTTTTACTGGAGAACTACTCCTGGGCATACATCTATGCTGGGGATCAGTGAGTGGGGCTGGCACAGGAAGGGGCATATGTGGGCGAGTGATGGAACTGCACACTAGTCATGCCTGGCTGGGTTATATGTGGGTTTCTTAAGAAGTGTAGCCTGCTTAGTGTGCCATTCTGTCTACAGTGGGGACCCCAGGGAGGGGGAGGTGGGGGGCATGTTGAAAAGGACTACAAGTTACCACATGTTGGCCTGAGATAGAAAACAAATTGGTAATGGTATTCTCTCAGTGTGCTGCAACAGGGGCCCTGTGTTACATTATAGGGGCCCTGTAGCCTGTAGTCAAATTTCTACCCTACAGGGTGAAAGGTTAGTAAGAGATTGGGGCATATTTTAACCCTTGCAACCACAACCAGTGCCTCATATCAGAGTTTCATCTCCAACTCACCCATTGTGTATATGAAAAAACTAAATTCTGGTATATCCAAACCATTTCAACATTTACACTTAATAATGTGAAAGTCGTTTACAGCCCTGTATGATAAAATTCCTAAAAATCTAAAGTAGCGGTGAGAAAAATAAAATTAAAAAACACTCTACCAATGATTTAGTGGATCGGATACTGAATTTTGCTCAGCCAGGAGGATGCTTCCAGTCTGACAAGCTTTCCATGAACAATTAAAGGGGCTCTAAAAATAAGTAATCCTCATCAGATGCTCTACCATTCAGCAAGATGGTCTTGACTATTTTCTTTCTAGTTTCTTTTTTGGTAATTCCCAGGTGGACTTGCACTCAGATCAAATAATGCTTATACAGTATATCCCATTGTTGGTGATTTTATTTTGTTTAATGTTGGACTGTGTAAAACAAAGGAGCCTTATTATAGCTGTGTGGCTTAGACATACTCTCTGGAATCCATAAAGACTGGCACAGGCAGATTTTGTGAAAGTGTCCCTCATGCATTCAAAAATTGTAAAGAATGCACCAAATTCAGGTACCTGCCTAGAAATTGTACTTGAATTTGGCTCATTCTGCACCACTTTTAGAATCCACATAAAACACTTTCAAAAAATTTGTCTGAGCACTTTTTCCCTCTGTAGGCCAAAATTAGTTGTTCTTAATTAGCTCCACTTTACATTTGGTGCATTCAACGCAACACAATGTAAAGTGGCGCCTTTTAGAACTATCTGAATTTGGTGAACAATTTGCTGTCAGAACCAAAAGTGTTGTAAAATGCTTCATGAATTTGGTGAAATACATTAACAATAGGGATTAACACCAGAAAAGTGGTGCAGCAGCTTTTTTAAATTCCTCCACTGTATATTTGTAACAGCAGCAGAGTGTTGTATCATGTTAGCCACTAACCAAAAAAAAGACTTTTGGGTTTTTTATTATTATTATTATACAGTATTTATAAAGCGCCAATGGTTCGCTCAGCGCTGTACATTACAAAGGGGGAAAGAACATGTGACAGAACAATACCAATACAATGCAAAACATGAGGGGATCGAGGGCCCTGCTCTTTGGAGCTTACAATCTAGGAGGGAGGGGATAGTGGTACAGGAGGAGATAGCTGTGGGGGATGGAGTGGTAGGAAGAGTGGAGGAGGTCGGCAGGTTAGCAGGGGGTGGGGTAGGCTTCCCTGAAGAGATGGGTTTTCAGGGTGCGCCTAAAGGAGGGGAGAGTGGGTGATAATCTGATGGGTTGGGGCAGGGAGTTCCAGAGGATGGGTGACACCCTGGAGAAGTCCTGGAGGCAGGCATGGGAGGAGGAGACCAGAGAACTAGAGAGAAGGAGGTCTTGTGAGGAGCGGAGTGTGCGTGCTGGGCGGTACTTGGATATTAGGTCAGTGATGTAGGTGATACTTTTTATTGACTAGGTAATTATACATAGTGCAAGATTCACAGCACTCTGGATTTTTCTTCAGGTAATATGAACTGATAGCAACAAACATTGTTCACATTAAACAATTAAGAAATACAGATGTTATCAACTTGACACATATGAGTAGCGTTGGAATACAGAGGGATCAGTGTATCGGTGAGGTGAAGGAGCAATCCTGTCTCCTGTGAGAAGCTTCCTCTCCCAGCAGTAAACACAACAGGTTAAGAGAAAGAAAACATGCTGGCTTGAACTTAAAGTGATAATACGGTCTTTTTTTTCTTCTTAAAAATAATAAACATGTCTATACTTACCTGCTCTGTGCAATGGTTGTACACAGAGTAGCCTGGATCCTCTTCTTCTCGGGTCCCCCAACAGCACTCCTGGCCCCTCCTTCCTGTTGGGTGCCCCAAACAGCTTGCTATGGGGGCACCCAAGCAGGCGCACTCCCAAGCCTCGGCTCTGCGTGTCCATACAGACACAGGGACTCGGTTCGGCCCTGCCCCCTCCCTCTTCTGATTGGCTCACTGGCTATTATTGACAGCAGCGGAGACATTCAGGAACCAAGACTCTTGTGGACATCTCTGAATCAAGAGGGGGCTCAGGTAAGTGTTAAGGGGGCGGTGGCTGCTACACACAGAAGGTTTTTTATCTTCATGCATAGACTGCATGAAGGTAAAAAACCTTGAGACTTTAGAACCTCTTTAACTGATTTTGTTGTGAACTACTGGGAAGATATATTCTCCAGAGCCTCTCCTATCTTCCGGAACTCCGTAACCATATCTCTCCAGCTATCTCCTACACTGTCCCATTTTAGGTGTTCCTTGAAAAAACTCGTCTCTTCAGAGAAGCCTATCATGCCTCTAGCTAACAACTGAATTTTTTACTTTCTTGGATGACTTGTTACCTCACAGATAATACCTTTTGTACCATTTGCCCTTCCCTTTAGATTATAAACTCTCACAAACAGGACCCTGCTAGTCCTCTTGTCTGGAATTGTATTGTAACTGTATTGTCTCCCTAGTGCGCAAACTATTAGTACTATATAAATCCTGTATAATATTAATAATAATGAATGGCTGCACAGTGTCTGTAATTACAGAGGTCAGTAAGGGTTTATTTAGAAGCGTATTTACTGCTTAGTAAGAATGTGTCTATATTTCAATGTCCATAGCCTGGTCACAATTCTACTCTAAATCTAACTTTTAACTCCCTATCTTATTTCCCTACTGACTCATGTATCTAGCTGTGTGTCTACTTTTTTTGCTTTTGGGTCCTCTCACTTCCTAAAAACTTGTATTTTTTCTGCCATTTCTCTCTCTACACTACTCAAATATCAACTGCTCGAGAAGACCCAAAAACCCCAACTCTCAAAAATCGTTGTTATGAAATAACATTTTATTCTTCTCATTAATATCTCACTTTTACTCATTAAATCATCATTTTTGTCTTAAAGGAAATCCACATCCTTACCTCCCTCATGTGTGAGACTAAAAATGTGAGTGTATGCTCATATATTACTTTGGCTTGACCTCTATCACTCTGTGGTCTACCAACAAATAGACTGGCACCACTCCAATCCAGCTTGATCTCTGCTGCTCAATTTAACTGCCTCTATACACACTTCTTAAATGCTGATTTTCTATATTAGTTTCTTGACAGCTTGACAATTACTCAAATAATTCATTTCAAGCTTGTAATGGAATGGTCATTTTAAGTGCAGTGCTCAATGTAGATAAAGTGCAATTAAAAATAGACAGACCACAATTTTATTAACATGAGTCATAATGTGTATATAACCTTATAAGAAACTATATTAAAGTGACATACCTTGAATGAATAAACCAAAATGTTAACAGGAACCTCAGCCTACATTATATGTAACCTTGTAAGAAATTATATTAAAGTGCAATGCAGGGGCGGACTGACAACTCATAGGGCCCCTGGGCAATAGGGGATCATGGGGCCCCTGTGTCCTTGCCCAAACTCAAAAAAGCCTATGAAATAGGTACCAGGGGCATCTCATGGGGCCCCCTACTGACCCTGGGCCCTCGGGCAGTGCCCGAGTTTCCAAATGGTCAGTCCGCCCCTGGTGCAGGCACATCAAATACCGTACGGAAGGAGGCAACAAAAACGGCAAACGCGTGAATCACAGGGTTATTGTTCTCCCATAAGGGATTTGCCCAGGCCAAGGCCTTGTCCGAGAGCAGCGAGATTAGGAAGCCCACCTTTGACCTCTCAGTAGGAAAAGCGTGGGGTATCAATTCAAAATATATGCCCACTTGGTTAATATATTTTTAATTGATACCCCACGCTTTTCCTACTGAGAGGTCAAAGGTGGGCTTCCTAATCTCGCTGCCCTCGGACAAGGCCTTGGCCTGGGCAAATCCCTTATGGGAGAACAATAACTCAGTGATTCACGGGTTTGCCGGTTTTGTTGCCTCCTTCTGTATGGTATTTGATGTGCTTGCTTGCTCCGCCTCTGCTGCTAAGCTGCTCATGTCCATGCATCAGGGTTCACGAACCGTTGACGAGTACGCCATAGAACTTCGTACCCTGGTGGCAGAGGTGGGTTGGAACAATGAGTAGCTAAACAGGAGCTTGCTGTTGTGCAACAGACAGGACACGAATGCAATGGACAGCCACAAACAGCAAACTTATATGTGATAAGCCGCCACCTCCTGGGGGAGGAGCCACAGAGGGCTGAAAGCATAAAGGATCCCACAATGCTTTGCAGACACCTAAGATGGATGCCAGCACATGGAGCAGCACAAGGTCTGAGGAAAGTAGGACCTTGACAGTACCCAAACAAAATTTGTATAATTTTTTTTAGACAGATAGAGATTTATTTTCTTGGTATTTAATCACCTCTGGGGTTTTTATTTTAAGCTATACAAACTAAAAAAACTAAATTTTGAAAAAAAAAAGTTTTTTCTTAGTTTCTGTTAGTTTTGTGTTTTTTCTCCTTCACTGATGTGCACTAATGAGGCTGCAGTGATGGGCACTGATAGGTTGCATCGATAAGCGGCATTGATGAGGAAGCACTGGTAGGTGGCACTGATGGGCATTGACAGGCATCACTTGTGGGCATTGACAGGCATCACTGATGGGCACTGAAAGGGAGCACTCATATATGGCACTATAGGCGGCACTGACTGGCACTGATAGGAACGTAAGGCGGCACTGATTGAAACTGTTAGACAGCACTGACAGACACTGATAGGCAGCACTGACTGGCACAGATAGGCAGCACTGAGTGGCACTGACTGGCACTGATAGTTGGCTCCAAAAGGCAGCTCTGATGGATACTGATATTTGGCATTGATGTGCATTGGTAGGCACTGACATGTGCCATTGATGTGCACTGATGAGCACTGGTATGTGGCATTGATGGGCACTTACAGGTGGCATTGATGTGTACTGACAGGTGGCACTGATGGGGCTACACTGATCATCAAGGCACTGATCATCAGTGCCTTGATGATCACTGTAGATGTACCTTCTGAGGAATGCCGATTACCGGCTCTCCTCTCCTCATGCGCTGTCAGCATTCCCTTTTTTACATGTGATCAGCTGTGATTGGACACAGCTGATCACATGACAGATCCATCATCATCGGCTCTTTACACTTGTCTACCTGAGATGTTTTTCATTTTTTGCAAATATGTTAAAATGCACAAATAAGGCCTGAGGGTTAGTTAAAGGATAAGTTCATCTTTTCTAACATGTTACATTTTACACCCATCTTCAGGGTGTAACATGTAACACGCTATGAGTGGACTGGTCCCTTTGTGACAGCTAGAGAGGAATCTTCTCCTCCTACTAGCTGTCACAATTTTAAAAAAAAGTGGGTTTGCGGGGTTTCACCCGCCTGGCCACATCACTCATTCATAGTGTTTTGTGAATGAGAAACTACAAGCCCCAGCCAGGGCTGTCTTGATGCATGGGCACCCCTGGGCACTGCCTGGGGGCACCAGGTGCATGGGGCATCATGATAATCTTGCATTGCATTATACTTGCCAACTGTCTCAAATTTGCCAGGACAATCATGCTTTTTACTAAGCTGTCTCAGGATGGCCCAGGCAGTGTTTCAAAACCTGTACTGTGCCCTCCTCACTCCACTTGAAAGTGCTAATGGATATATGTTTAATTCTATCAACTATGTATACTTTAATTCTTGAGAGTAGATGTGGAAATCAGGGCAGGCTGGTAGGGACTCCAATGCATTACTTTCCCCACAGATCATGCTGCTATTAAGATGTCCCTGGCCCCAGCAGCCTTTGCGACTGTCAGCTTGCAGGTCTCAATAAACTAGCACGGCACTGTGAGCACTGTGGTTGTTCACTGAGTCTTCCTGTCATTAAGTATTGGCTTTCCCGTAAGATGTATGAGGAAGCAGATCCAGTGACAGGTCTGCAGGAGACCTGCATGATACCAGCGGTCTGCTGATCACTGGTGTAATGCTTTACAGGCTCCCAAAACTAAAAATAATAAATGCACATTTTTTTACCTGCAAAAAAATTTGCATTTATTATTTTTTGCTGAAATGTGAATTTATCCTTTAAAACCCCCAAATATTATACATTTTCTGAAAGCAGTGACCATGTAGAATAATGGCAAAACCTCCAAACATTATATATTTTTCCGAATCCAGAGACCCTGGATATTGGTGGTAGTTGCAATTTTTTGTGTCACACATATAAAATCCACAGTTTCAGTACAAAATAAACTAAAATTAATTTCACTGTAGACAAAAACAATATAGTACTATTTTTTGGCAAATAAAAAAGATGAGGTTGCATTGTGTAAATAGATACCAAACATGTCAAACCTAAAATTGTGCGCACCTGTGAAATAAACGCCGGCACCCCAAGTTGTCCATAGGAAATGCTTTAAAAGCTTTTGCAGGTTACCAATTTACAGTTAATGGCCCTAGATTTCTTGCTCTCATGTTTCCCCATGGCTCATGCTGTTATTAAGATGTCCCTGGCCCCATATACCCAACATGTGTGCATTTGTTTTTTGCTTACATAGGTGCACCAAAGCATGCATTTATGTCTGTATGTGCATGTACTTGGGGGCGGGGGAGGGGATTTTAAAAATGTTTGTGTGATTTATTAATTTTATCTTATGTTACTTTAATGTTTGCTTACAATTATGTTTACTGCTATCATGCCACCAATGATAGCAAACTAGAGATTACATGTCCTCTTAAGGAGACATCAGGGATCTGTTAGACTTCTAATGTCACCTATGGATGGATATGAAACTGACCAAGCCCAGAGATAGAAGAGCAAAGGATACATCATTGTGATAGTCATGTGAAGAGCATGTGCTACACCTGAGGGAGTGTGGAAATGATCGGGTGGCTTTATAGCCACTTGAATCACTTCCACCAGAAAGACCACAGTTGGCTTGACAGTATTGAATACAGTCCTGGCAGCTATTTTAGCTGGCAGTGTGTTTAAAAGCATTTGTCACTAGCCACTGTTTAGTGGGGGTTGTCATGTTTGGGGAATGCCTGAAATCTGCATGTTGCAAGCTGCACAGCAGTACAATGTATTCCTAAAAAAGTGACATTTAAAAACAAAAAAAAACCTACAGCTGCTAAATGGTTTCCCTCAGCTAAATCTTTTAGCAATAAAGCATATTTGGATATCACCCATTATATTACTGCAGCAGCTAGGGAACTGTCATTTAGCTATGGGAGTGCAATACTTTTTTGAAAAGACTGTTGAATTAAACATACATGCCATTATTACACATGCGGTATGCACATATTTATGGAACATGTTCATCCAGTAGACAGTAACCAGACTTTGAGCTTGTTTTTTTTGGATTTTATTAGAGGAATTGAACTTGGATGGGGTAAGGGATGCATGGGATGCCCAAAGGGAATGGCAACTGAAGAAAATCTTCCTGGAATTATGTACAAGTCTCTTTAGTCAGCAAAAAGTATCTTCTGGAAAGCTAGCCAGTATCTCCTGGTGTACCACCCCAAACCCCAGATACTCCTTTATCCAGCTGTACTGGGTGAATCCCTGGGCAGGGGATCCAGTGCCTGTCACTTCAATTAGAACACAGTCCCTGGTAGCATGTTGATCCAGTTTCCCACTAGAGTGCTCCTTCCCTTTTCTGACCTGGGAGGTGTTGGTTTACTCACTCAGTTCTCTGTCTGGGAGCTGATGGGTCGGTGGCTGCTCTCAGGCCTTCTACTGGGCCGCTCCTTCCCTGCTGCACAGATGGTCCTCACTCTGGAGCCAATAAGGTTCTGAGATTTCCTCTGCTCCAGCTTCCCTGCCTGTAGGCCCAACTGGACTCCCTTCCAGATTCCTGCTCTCCAGCCTCTCACTTCAACTTCCACCTGAACTCTCCTAACTGCTGAGAAGGCTCTGTCACATTTGAAGGCTGTCCTGGTCCCATGCCAAGCCTCCTGCTTGGGGATTGGTCAAGGTCCTCCAAGTGTGCAGGCAAGCCCCTTCTCACTCCCACCCACTGCTTCTAGAATCTTCTCCAAGATTCTAGAGCAAGGGGAGGTATAAAGGAACTGGCATGCAGAGCCTCTGAGCTCTGTCCCGAATTTGACCTCCCTCTGACTATCTCCACAAGGCTGCTACTTATCCTCTACAATTGAGCACTAGCTTCCCCCAGCTATCTAGGAGGGTGCTACATTTATGTAATTGAGAAAACTTCCTGTACACCCCAGTTATATCTGAAACTACCTCTCTTAATCCCAACATGTGGCATCATTAATTAGATTTAGTGAAAACATTCAAGTCTAATGAAGATGTGATTTGTGCTCTCTCAGCCTCTCTTACAGCAAATCTGAATTTAATCTTCACAAATGTTAAAAAGTGAAATACATTGGGGCTTGCTACAATTAAAGGCAAATGTAAATCTTCTACAATACCTCTAAGAATCTAAAATTCCAAGAATTCCAAAACAGCCATATTTCTTTCCTATATTATAAAGCAGCTGATACTCATTTCACACATGGTGAATGGAAAATAAGCAGTCATAATTTAGCAAATATCTTGAAGGTCCAATCGAACTTCAATTTAATTTAATTTTAATGTCAATTCAAATTCCAGCTGAATATAAATGAGCTTGGTTAGCCATATTGCTGGACCTAACTCTTCTACCCCAGAGAGTAGGCGGCAGAGATCAGTGTGTGTGAGCAGTGTTCTCTCTGCAGTGGTCTGACATGTTCCTGCCAAATCAGGGCTAGAAATTTGCAATGAGCAGGGACCATAAGCTTTGCTTAAAGCAGAACTGCAACAAAAAGAGATGAATGGACAATTGCAATATACATTATCAAAACCAGCTTTTGCAGCAAATTCACCTTCAGTCTAGAGATTGGTACCATTTTTTCTGCCATTAGATGTCCTAGCAACTTTTAAACCACTTCCTCTGAGCCCTGGTCATCCTAGACCCACCCCCGTCTGTGACCTAATAATGAAAGGACAAGCAGCATAGTAGTGATGAGCTCATATCTCTATCACACCTGCTTTCTCCTCCTATCAGCATGATTTTTGACAACACGTGAACTGAGTAGCTCCTTTTGGTCAAATTCAGGTACTTACACTGCTTGCATTTAAGAAATACATTTAATGATCATTAATGATTACAGAGCTGCTAAAAGTTATTGTCTTTATATCTGCCTTGTGTTCATCTTTAGGGGTTGGCAATGTAATGGCGGGAGCATGTGGGCAATGTTACGAAGCAGTGAAGATCACACCACAAACTGTTCACTACATTTTACCAGTAAATAGGAACACATTTCAGCTGTTAAACATATAAACGTTAATGGATTTAATTTGCCATTAGCTGTACAACTATAAGTGCACATATTGAAAATTGACAATGCTTGTGAATTAACATAAAGTGAAGCTCAGATAACATCAAAGTTCACCTTGGATATTAAATCATGTGCATGTAGTTAGATGATTGAAGTGAATGCAATTTCACTTTATTTACTTGGCTACATGAGCATTTACTTTGCATAGTTTATAGCTAAACTCCAGAGGCAAAAAGGCAAACAGCTACACAGATTTAATACAGGGGTGAGACAAAAATATGGAAACACTACATGATTTGCAGGTGTGAAAGTGACGATATTTTTTGCGTTGAAAGCAGAAGTGTTGTAACATTCTTTTGCTTCTGCTGTGTGATAAGACACCTAGCTGACAGGTGGGAAGTCTCACTTTTGACATTCACTGCGTGTGCTGCTAGTAATACGTAGTCATGTCAGAGCTTACTGAGTTCCAAAGAGGGAAAATTGTTGGTGCCCGCTTAGCTGGGGCCTCTGTCACTGAAGTTGCCAATTTATTTGTCGTGTCACGAGGTACCGTATCAAAGTACCGTTTCTGGAAAAAATTTCATCTGATAAGCGCAATCGGGGTCAACATGGTCAGCTGATTGAAAGACAAAAGGACATTGAGCAGGAT